CTCAATAAAGCTGATCGGCATAGCTTCAAGGTTGACAGGATGAACGATGATGGCTAGATTAGGGTCTGCTGGTTCAGGTGCTGCAGCATCGTTGCGGACATCACCAAAGGCTGGAAGAGGATTTATAGGAGGAGATGCCATGATACAGTAGATAAAGAAAAAATTGCTTCTTGTGCTTTTGATTTTTGAGTGTGAATTTTCGAAAAAAGAAGCACGAAATTTATAAGCCCTAATTTTTGCTGAAAAAAAATGAAGTGGAGAAGGTGAAGAAGTGGTGTGCGTTTTTCTTGGAGAAAGTGTGATTAAGGAGAATAAAAGGTCTATGTGGCAGTTTAAAACAAAACGTGACACATGGCACAATAAGGAGTGGACTTAGTGGAAGATAAAAGACTAGCCCATGTACCCCATGACCCATATAAATAGTGATAACTCAAAAAAAATAATAGTAATAAAAATAATAGCACTCACGAAGTTTACACTTAAATAATAAACACATCTTTTAATGATTAATAGTGTGAGAAAAAATTGGCTAACTGGCATGGATTTTATTATATATATATAATAATTTTTTTATTTTTTGTTATTTTTTTTTATTTTATTTTTAATTATTTTTTTTTTTTTAAACTCTTATTTTCAAGTCAAACAATTCACATGGAACATGATTAAGTGTTCAGTTCGAAGGTTCCTCAGTTACTAAGATTTAGTAACGACTATCAAAATAGAGGAGTTTGACTTATGTGATTGTAATTGTTCTCTGAATGTTTACATGAAGCATGATCACGTTTCAAGGTGAAAGACTTCCAGTTACTTATTTAGAGAATAATCCATCACAGTGAAGTCATTATTTAAAGAAGCTATGCTTCAGTAAATTATGTTGCAGCTTAAGATATTGGATGAGGTGCTGCAACATATTTCAGGACATGTTTATTGAGTACACATCCCGAGAGATTTTCTGAGTTTAGAAAACCTCTCATAATCTAATGCCTTTGTAAAGATGTCAGCCAGCTGATCTTCTGTAGGAATGTACTTTAAGCACACTATATTTTTCTCAACTATATCACGAATAAAATGATGTTTAATATCTATGTGTTTAGTTCGTGAGTGTTGAACATGATTTTTTGAACTATCAATAGCACTTGAATTATCACAATATATGGTCAGGGTGTCACTGGTTAACCCATAATCCCCCAACATTTGTTTCATCCAAATTAGTTGACCACAACATCCTCCAGCAGCTACATATTTTGATTCAGCTGTTGAAAGTGATACACAATTTTGTTTTCTACTAAACCATGAAACTAGATTATTCCCCAAAAAGAAACATGCACCTGATGTGCTTTTTCTGTCACTAATATCCCTAACCTAATCAGAATCACTAAAACCTATCAAATTAGTATTAGTGTCTTTGAAAAACTGAATACCTAAGTCTACTGTACCTGCAACATACCTATAATCCTCTTCACAGCTTTAAGATGAGTGACTTTGGGATTAGCTTGATACCTGGCACACACACAAACACTAAACATAATATCAGGTATGCTTGCAGTTAGATACAGAAGACTTCCAATCATGCTTCTGTATAGGGTGCTGTCAACATCTTCAACAACATCGTCCTTGGACAGTTTTTGACTTGAACCCATTTGAGTTTTCACGTGCTTGGCTGACTCCAACTCAAACCTTTTAACCAGATTGAGAGCATACTTCTTTTGATTTACAAAAATTCCTTCACCTGTCTGTTTGATTTGGAGTCCTAGAAAGTAATTCAACTCTCCTACCATGCTCATTTCAAAAGTGTGAGACATAGAATCTACAAAAGACTGTAAAAGGTTAGCACAAGTAGAACCAAAAACAATATCATCAACATATATCTGTACAATAATGATATGGTTATTTGTTCTTCTAACAAATAGAGTTCTGTCTGCCTCTCCTCTGGAAAACTGTATTTCAAGTAAGAAGTCAGTGAGTTTTTTATACCAACCCCTAGGAGCTTGTTTAAGACCATGCAAAGCCTTCTTAAGCTTGAACACATGATTAGGTTTGGCAGAATCTTCAAAACCCTTAGGCTGCTCTACATATGCTTCTTCATTTAGAACACCATTTAGAAATGCACTTTTGATATCCATTTGATACAATTTGATTTTAAGAAAACAGGTTATAGCAAGAAGTAACCTAATAGATTCAATTCTAGCTACTGGAGCAAAGGTCTCATCAAAATCTATACCTTCAATATGAGTATAACCTTGTGCTACTAACCTAGCCTTATTTCTAACAAATGTACATTTTTCATCAGTTTTGTTTTTGAAGATCCACTTAGTTCCTATCACATTTACATGACTTGGTCTGGGAACTAAGTACCAAACATCATTCCCGATGAACTGATTCAGTTCTTCATGCATTGCATTGATCCAAAACTCATCCTTCAGTGCTTCTGCAATATTCCTTGGTTCGACTGAAGATACAAACCAAGTAGTTCCAGTTAGTGCACATTCAGAAGATAAATTTGCAAATCTTACCATATCTCTGTAATTCACTCTCTCTTTTCTTCTGGTCCTTATCCCATCAAAGATATCTCCCACAACTTGAGTCGAGGGGTGATTTTTCTGGATTCTACTTGATGGTTCCTTTCTGCAGACATCATGGGTTGGCTGCAATTCAGCTTATGTGCTCTCTGTAGGAAGTATTGAGTCAGATGTGGTAACACTTGGCTCAACACCCTCTTCTCTTGATACTGGAATGTTTATATCTGGAGCATCTGTGGCAGTAGTGTCTCCTCCGGTTGTTCCTTCAGCAATCAGGTCATCAACTTCATCTTCAGCTGTTTTACTGCGGAGATCAGCAAAATCATCAAATACCACATTTACAGATTCAACAATGGTTCGAGTTCTTAAGTTATATACTCTATATGCATGACTGTTATTAGAGTATCCCACAAATAAACTCAAATCATTTTTTGAATCAAATTTAGCTAGATGATCTCTATCATTTAGGACATAGCAAACACATCCAAACACATACATGTACTCTAGATTAGGTTTCTTACCATAAAGAGTTTCAACACACACAAACACATATTTTTTACCACCTAGACTTTCTACCTCTATAGGACCCATAAGATCCATATGTACAAGTTCAAAACAAATGGTGGTACCAACGTGTTCTAACACTTTGTATGGCACTCTAGTTTGCTTTCCCTTCTGGCACATTCCGCATATAGGAATGTCTTGATCTTGAGATCTGGAATTCCTCTTATGGAATTGTACTTGTTGAGCAGCTTCAGATTTTTGAAGTTTGTGTGCCCTAGATTCTGGTGCCACATCTCTACTTCACTTACTCTTGAGCTCTTGCATGAGATGGTATCACCTGTTTGATAACAATTATCCATTGACCTGGAACCTGTCAGTACACAATGATTTTGATTATCAAACACATAACAACAGTATTTATCAAATTGAACACGTAGATCATCATCACACAATTGACTAATTTTGATGAGATTTGACCCCAATCCTTCAACATGTAAAACATTTGAAAGTTTTGGAAGTCCCTCAATACTGAGTGTTCCACGTCCAACCACTTTGCCTTTAGCTCCTCCTCCATAGGTTACACGTCCTCCATTGAGTGTATGGTATTTTGATAGAAATTCTTTTGTTCCAGTCATGTGCCTAGAGCATCCACTATCAAAGTACCATGAACCTGAAATGTTAGCATTTAAAGAAGTGTATACTGCTTTGCACATAAGTTTACCTTTGGGAGTCCATATTCTACACTCTTTTTTGGTGAATTCTACCTTTTTCTTTGAGGTGTTACCTGGAGTGATGTGGCTCATTTTGTACAACATTTTGTCACTACTGAGTTTTTCACAAAATGGACGAATATGTCCTGGTGAGAAACAATAATGAAAAATGTATCCCCATATTCTGGACTCTGGAGTGGTGATAGTGGAATTCCTGCATTCTTTTCCATTTGAACCCTTCTCTTTTACAAATACAATTTCTTTCTTCTTTACTGGTTTGTGTTTCTTCACTTGTTTTTTGAACCCTAGACCTTCATTTTTGTTGTACTTTTCCAGTGACACAATCTCTTCGAGTTTAGTTGTGCCGATATTCATCCTCTTGATTGCTAGAGTTGCTTCCTTGAGTTCATCTTTCACCGTTGCCAGTTCAAGATCCTTCTTGGTGATACCAACCTCCAAATGTGTGATTGTTTCTTTAAGGGAAGAATTTTCCTTGTTGGCTGCATCTAGAGCTTGAGTCTTCTTCTCCAAGTCGCTGAACAATTTCTTACACATTTCTTCTTCATCTCTAACTACTTCTTTACTGGATTCTGCTACATTCAAAGAAATAGAGTTTAAACATGTATAATGATCATTATCTAACTCAGAAATTTCAGTTACTGAAAGTGTTTCAGAAAGTGTTGCAGCATCTAGAGAAACTTCTTGTGATTCTGTTTCAGAAGCACTTTCAGTGATATATCTGACACAAAGAGCTTGTTTAGTGGATTGTTGCTCCTCTGTCCGTTCAGGTTGCTCTGTGGAATAGATCTGTTCCGGGGCTGAGTTTGTCGATTTTGTGGAGAGCCATCTGGAAATAACTGTCTGGGCTTGATTCTACTTCGTCTGTATGGCCTATTGAATTTCTGAATTTGGAATGCCACATTGTTGAGACATTCCTCTACATCATCATCATATTCCGTAGCAACTTCTTCCTTCTCTAGTTATGCCTGGAGTGCATTTGAGATAGCCTTACCTTTCTCCTTTCTTTGATCTTCAAAGTTCATTTCCCTAGACTTTAAGCTACCAATTAGGTCGTCCAGACGTAGGGATGATGTGTCTTTGGCCTCCTCAACTGCAGCAACTGTCATGCTGAATCTTTCTGGGAGAGCTCTCAATACCTTATTCACTAGTGTCTCATTGCTCAAAGGACCACCTAAGGATTGAAATTCATTAGCTAAATCAATCAATTTCTCATTGTATTGAGAAATTGTTTCGGTTTCTTCCATCCTCAGTCTCTCAAATTTGGAAGAGAGTAATCTGAGCTTAGTTCTCCTGACACTGTCTGATTCTTCACAATGTAGCTGAAGAACCTCTCATGCATCCTTCGCAGAAGTGTACACTGAAATCAATTTAAACATTGTTAAATCTACTGAATTAAAGATTGCATTTAACGCCTTTGAGTTTTGATTGGCATTTGATAGATCATTTGCTGTCCACCGTAATTCTGGTGTTGGAAATACATCCCCATCCGCATCTATGATAGTTGGTGGCTTCCATCCAGTAAGAATAGATCTCCAGGCTCTCTCATCAATGGATTTGATGTACGCCCTCATCTTGCCTTTCCAGTAGGTGTAGTTTGTGCCATCAAGTACAGGAGGTCGCATGGAAGCAGTCATCTGAGTATCCATCACGAATTTGTTTCTGAAAAAATAGGAACAAACACTTAGTATACGTCAAGTGTTGGCTTTGATACCAATTGAAATAATTTTATGGTCCCGAATTCGTTTAATACAGAGGTGTTATCTTAAGTGTTGTGACACTTGAACAAACATGCAGCGGAAATATAAAAACAATACTCAGATCTAAAAATGTTCACAAGTAAAACTTGTGAACTTGCCTTTACAGGACGGAAAAAATATATTAAAAACAGTATTCCAAGAATACAAACAGAAGATGTACGAAAACTTCTTCCTTATGAATGAATCATTCTCATGATCATTCTTACATTCAAATCTAGAAACAAAAAAAGAAATATTAAAAATTTTAGATTTCAAAGAATGTACTCGTGAGGAGTACGTAAAGAACTTATGAATGAATCACTATCTTGATCATTCTTACAACCAAGTCTAGAAACATATATACTAAACAATCTAGACTACAAAGAATGTACTTATGAGAAGTACGTAAAGAATGTACTCATGAAGAGTACGTAAAGATTGTACTCATGAGGAGTACAACCAACCGATTCTAAAACACACTAAAACACTCATGTAATCTTTTCAGCTCTCGGTGTTTATTTCTTGGAATCGATCAATTTCCTTGAGTATTGAAATCGGTATTTAAAGACATTTCAAGCTTCCACTTCTCAGCCAATGATCTTCAAGAAAACCAACTAAAGAAGCACTCAAGAACATGGGTTAGTGGGTTAGTTTAGTAGTTAAAATAAAATCCACAATTTAATCCACTAAGCACTACTTAGCCCACTAAGTATTATACTTAGCCCACTAAGTACTATACTTAACCCACTAAGCACTACTTATTCAATAACTAAAATTTAGTTTAGAAATAAGAAGGTTAAAAACAAAATGTGGAAATAATCCACGTGTTTCACTTCGATTCCTCCAACCTCGGGCCCTTCTTCCGCCTCCCGCTATTTTTTCTTCCGTTGTAAACGAAATCCCGCAAAATAATACTTTTGCTCTAAAGAATTTATTCCTCCCTTTACTCACCATTTTCTCATCCTCCACTTTCAACAACATGCATTGAATCTTCTGTATCCTGACTTGCAACTGATCGACTTTTTCGGACCCTTTTTCCGCCTGCTCAGTTACTTTAATTCTCCACGTTTTTAGGGTCTCTCTCATACGAGGCGAAGCCATTTCATCTTTCGGGCACTCTTCGATATTCTTCCCGAGTTGACTGTTCAAATCCACTAAATACACTACCGCGTCCTCCGTTTCACAGAGCTCTTGTTTAACCGCCACGTAATCGATGCTCTTCGCCTTTCTAATCTTCTTGTTCGTCTCCAGTTTCATTCTCAGGTTTTCGACCGTCATGTGAAGATTCTCGAGCTTTTTCGCATCGGATGAGAGTCTTTCAAGAATCTTTACGTCGTTCGATTCTTGATTCGGCTTAGTAGTACTGATTCTTCTTGATGATGATGACGAAAGCTCTAGGTTAACCACACTCAGCTCTTTCTCCACATCCGAATCGGTCAACAGAGGGTCGGATTTGTACTGCGATTTATCCCTTTGCCTCAACTTGTACGAAATTCTGCGCGAGTCTCCGACTGTCGTTTGGTCCCGATTTTTCCCGTCCACGTCAGCAGTTTCCCACATCTCGAGCATCAAATGATCGTCCGTTCTAACACTGCCTCTCTTCAGTTCTGAGCTGTGCGAGACAACTATATCGAGAGGGATATCTTTCATCAGCATCTTTGTTTTTCGGCTGCTATGTTTGTGCTTGTCTCTAATAAGACAGTGGTTCTTAAGCTTGTCATTCTCACTCGTACCAGGTTCTTGTCTTTTGCTATTATTCGATTCTTCGATCAACTTTCCAACTGCCTTAACTTTCATCTGCAATTTCTGCAAACTGGCAAGGGATTGATCTTCCGGAAGATCAACCCTAGCTTCTAGAAACTCTGTGTCTCGATTGTCGGCTGCTTTAACCTTTGAGCGAAGCAGTGCATTATGCTCGATGAGTGATATATCGTCTCTTAGTGAAGCTACAACTGGAGCATATGCATGCAATTGGGATTTCAATCCACTAATTTCGTTCTCCATTAAAGAAATCTTTCTTTTCAATTGGTCAATCTCCGTTGACTTTGAACCATCTTTTTCCTCGAGAATCCGACAAACCTCAGTTAGCCCCTGCACTTTATTTTTCAGCAAGACTTCATTAACGGACGAAACCTGAAGATCAAAGCAAAACGTCGATGCTTCAACTTCCCATAGCTCGAATTCGTTGCTCAAATTCTGCTCTCTAGTTTTATTTTCTTCTCTTTCTTGACGAAGTAAGCAAATTTCCGACTCCAAAGTCTTGTTCGCTATGTTAAGGTTCTCGTTTTCCTTCTTCATTTCGGCCATTGTTGTGCACAGAGCTAAGTTCGATTTTTCCGCAGCTTCGAGCTTCGTTTCTGCATCGAAGAGCTTTGCTTGTGTTTGAAGCAAACTCTCTTTACCATTTATTACATCCTGGTTCATTCGAACATTGCATTCTCTGACCACATCCATCTCGATTTCCAAGCTAAAAACGGCATCTTTCAGGGCTAAATTTTCCGCCTTTTGCAACTCAAGCTTCCCTATCAACACACTCATTTCCTTTTCGAGGCTAACATTGACCTCATTTTGTCGTTTCAGATCTGCGAGAAGTAATTTCACTTCTTCGATTTTCTCTCTCCCGAAACTCCTCAAGACTTCAGATACATTAGCACATGATAAAAATTCAAGAATTGCATCCTCGTTATACCGATCTAACTTGTATTTCTCATCTTTCAGATCCGAAAACTTCTTCAACAAATACGTATTTTCTTGATTCACTTTCGAGTAAACTGCCTGTAAGGCATTATACGCCTTCTGCAAATCAGCTTGTTTGACACAAAGACTCCCGAATTCAGCCTCGAGTACAGCAGCTTCTTCACGACCTTCACTCGCATCCGACTTCAATTTCCCATTTATTTCCACAAGTTCATTTTTTTCGTGTTCGACACCACTAAGCTTCTCAGCCATGAGTTTCGACTCTTGCTCCAAGGGTATTTTCTGTGTCTCGATTTCGACGCCCTTTGACTCCAACTGTTCGAGAAGAGTTAAAAGAACCGAGTTTTCAACCAAGAGCTCTTGCTTTTCATCCTCGTATTCCGAAAGAGAACATTTCATATCTTCAATACTTTCAAGAATGCAATGCAAGAAAGTTTGTTCGTTTTCGACAACCTTTTCCTCAGGAGCAATTCCCAATCCCCTGAAAATTTGATATATTCCCAATCTCAGCCTCTCGATTTCATCCAATAGGAGCTCAGATTCAACTTGCTGCTCAAGACTTTCACCCTCCAGTTCGGATATCAATTTCTCCGCCAATTTCGATGCCTTGACGTGTTTTTGACACTCAATAATGAGAGAGTAGTTCTTCTCTTCCATATCTTTTATAAATTTATGCAAGATGGATATTTCGAACTGCGCTTTCAAAGCTTTATCGAGTTCTTGCTCTGTTTCCTTTTTCTTACACGTGTTCTCTTCTTTAAGGAGATTGATTTGATTTTCGAGCCCGGCCAATCGGGTTTCGCTCAAAATCTGAGAGCTTGTCCGTTCTTGATTTTCCTCATCCAACGAAACCTTGAGCTTTTCGACTTGATCGTGCATGTCTTCTTTCTCTTTCTTTAAATCAGTGTATTTTTCTTCCAACCCCATAAATTTTTTCTCCAAAATCTGCAGCCTTCTCTCCACATTTTCCAGCTTCGAAACTAAACTGCCCCTTTCGGTCAAAAGACACGATCTTTCGTTCTTGAGCAATTCGCAAATCTCCTCTAACCCTTTCGATTTTTCCCTCAAACCTTCGAGCTCGATTTTGGCGGTGGATAGTGAATTCTCCAAAACGGCGTTTCTTCCCACTAAACTCTGCATATTCTCGGTCATGGCTTGTAATTGAGACAGAATAGAAGTTTTCTCAACAACTAGAGCAGTTTTTTCTCCGTAAATAAATTGGCCCGATTCCAACAATGCGTCTTCAATATTCTCTAGCTTCTTTTACATGATTGCTTTCTCGTTTCTGCCGTTTTCGCATAGTTGCCTCAGCTTCGAATTCTCCTCGTTCAAGCACTTAATCGAAATCAACACACACGTGGGGTCGAGACCTGCTTCTTCCACTTGCTCCACTAAATCCCGATAGTGCCTATTCAACCCTTCGATTTCTTCTTTCAAATTCGAAATTTCCCTTTGAAGAGAAATAGTTATCCCAATGTGGTACGAAACTTCCTTTTCGAGCCTTTCCTTAATCTCCCTCAAACTAAAGATTTCATTCTGCATACTCTCCATAGAAGAGTTCGTTTGGCTCAAACTATCGTTTTCATCTCTAACCTGCCGAATCTCTTCTTCAAAGCAATTTTTGCTAGCTTCAGTTTTTTTCAGCTTTTGAACTACATTTTTGAGCTCAAGCGTCAGAGCCATTTGATCATATCGAGATTTAGAGTGCGAATTTTGCAGAGTCTCGAGAGTGGCTTACACTTTTTCGTGACGTAAATGCTCGTCCTTTAAACGCACTTCAAGACTCTCCAATTCGCCCTGCTTTTTTGAGAGTTCTTGATATTTCGCAGCAATCTTTTTCACAAGATTATCCGCTTCGACTCGCAGTGATTGATTCGACTTCTCGAACAGAGCACACTTCTCTTCGGTAGTCTTGAGCTTCACATTTCCAATCGAGACTTTATCATTCAAGCTTGATATATCTTTCTCGAGCTTGGATATAATTTCCAGGCAGCACTTGTACTGTAGGGCCGAAGCTTCTTTCTCCTTGTTCAGATCAGCAAACACCCTTTTCAGTTCAAAAACTTCAGCTTCAGCTCTCTCGGCTCGTTTCTTAAGAAGGCTGGCCTCATTTTCGATTATAGAGATTTTGTTCTCCAACTCCGATATTTTTTCGAGGCACTGTTTGTACTGTTGCATCACCGTCTCCTTTTCGAGCTCTAATCCCGACATTTTATCTTTTAGGGTTCGAGATTCACTTTCTGCTTCAAACTCTTTTTCATCGAGCCCCTTCGTATCTTCTTGGAATTTCGAAAACATAGCCTCGAGATCAGATATCCTCTCCAAATACTCTTTCTGCTTGACCAGTCCAGCATTCTTTTCAGCCTCTAATTGAATGAGAGCTTCCTTCAAAGCTTGGGCTTCGATTTCAGCTCTTCCCGATTTTTCTTGTGCCTCATTTATCTCTCCCTCGATTTTACAAAGCTTTACAAGACATTGTTGGTACTGGAGTAGCACATCTTCCTTTTCAGCTTCGATATCCAAAAGGGCTTTCTTTAGCCCTTCAACTTCATTACTGCCGTTTTTTCTTTTGTCGGAAAAATTTGAACTTTGAAGTATTTCGTGCAATTGCTTCAAACCCCGTTTTTTCAACCCTGCATCGGAATCTTGAAGCAATTCGTCAGCATCGAACAATGCATGCACGCGTCTTTTTATTTCTAGTGTGAGAGGTTCAGTTTTCGAAGGCGAGTCATCACCAAGTTCGAAAGGTACTTCTTCGGGAAATGCCTCCGATATGGTTCGATGGGCTTGGCGAAGTTCACCCGTGGCGTGGTTGTACCTTTCTGCTAGTGCACGGTAAGCTTGGTAGAACTCCTCCACAAACTTCATCAACTCGGGCCGTTTCTTGTAGTACATTTCGGCCCGCCTTGCGAATGAGTCCGCATCCGCTTCTATGAGCTTGATCATCGATTTCACTTTGCCATCCATATCTGTGAGATTTTCTTGGAGCCATCTTGAATTTTTGGAGCTAATATGGCTATCCCACCACCACGAGTACATTCGTCTAGAATCGCTATTCGACAACTTTGCCATCCTTTTTTTTTTGGGGTCATTAGCAATAAACCCTTCATATAGATAAGAAATGGTGATATTGTCCACCCCTTAAATCTTTCTTTGTGATAACCCACTAAAATTTTTATTCCCAATTCTACCCTTATGTCAATTAACATAATTATTCTCAATTATTCCTTTTTTCTCTCTTTCCATAACAATAATCTAATTCCTTCCTTAAAATCTGCTTCCAAATCCCTAAAAATTTGCTACCAAATAAAAAAATGATTTTTTATTTTCTATTTTTTATTATTATCGAATTTCATGTAGCCATTATTTATTTATTTAATATTTTTTTAATAAAAATATATTTTTATTTTATTTTTTAAATTTTTTTTAAACAAAAAATTGATTCTTTTCTCGACAGATTTACAAAGCCGAATATGACTATAGGTGACTATATTAACTTTAGTCATATTATTTTTTATACTGCAGTTTTTCACTTTTTCATCTTAACAATTCCGATTATATAGTATGGTATAGTTATGTTCACCAAATTATATAAAACAACGAAGGTTCCTTATTGTTTACGAAAACAATCCAATCAACATCCACACAAAAAAATCACAATTTGAATCTAGTTATTCGAAGTCAACTTCAAAACGAGAAAATAGAACATATTCGAATATGACTACCGTCGTATTCAATAATAGTCATATTCGAATATGACTACAATCATATTCAAACAATACATAAATATGACTATAGTCATATTCGAATATGACATAGTCATGTTACTGCTACTGTTCAGATCTGAAAATACAATTTTCAGATCTGAAAAAAAAAAAAAAAAGGAGAAATCGAGAAATACATAAATATGACAATAGTCATATTCGAATATGACTATAGTAATGTTAATACTGCTGTTCATACACAAAAAAATGGGAGTTGACGAGGTCTTCATAGACAAAATCACCCTGGCATATCTTCACCCCAAACGACCCTCCATACTTCAACAGAATCATCAAGGTTGATGACATGATGTGCAGCACTACAAAAAAACATGAGAATGTGACTACTATGTGAATAATTTTGCTGAATGAATCTGCACTATTCTTTAAATGCAATTCATATAATATTATGTGAATTCAATTCAGCCACAACAAACACATTGAAACTCACACTAACATATCAAGTAACGCAAAAAAAATTACAATAAGATCACAATTTGAATCATGTTATTACAAGTCAACATGAAACGATAAAATGGAACATATTCGATATGACTACAATCAGATTCAACAATAGTCATATTCGAATATGACTATAGTCATATTACTGCGGTTGTTCAAATACAAAACTGTAATACAGATCTGAAAAAAAAAATCAAAAAATTTAGAAATAAAATACACACACACAAAACAATATTTCACACATACACATACAAAACACACACACACAGATACATTTCACACACACACAGACCCACATACAAAGTTAAGAAATAACAGTTTCACACATACACATATACAAAACACACACACAGATACAAAACACACACACACACACACATATACATTTCACACACACAGAGACCCACATACAAAGTTAAGAAGAAACATTTTCACACATACACATATACAAAACACACACACAGATACAAAACACACACACACAGATACATTCCACACACACTCTTTAGTCGCAATATTTCACACACAGATACAAAACACACACACAGACCCACATATCCATACATATATGACAACATGAGTTTTTGGGGAGGTTTGACGGCAGAACCCTAGGCGGCGGCTGTGATCGGCGGTTGGGTGAGTCGATAATGGCGGTGGTGTGAAAAGAAGGGAGGAGGGCGGCGACGCCGGTGGAAATCTCGAAGGAGAACGGCGGCACTGGTGTAAATCTCGATGGATAGAGGCGGCGGTTGTGCTATGCAAAGAAAAAGAAAAGAAAGAAAAAAGAAGAAGAAGGAAGAGAAGAGAGAGAGAGTAAACGTGAGAGAGAGTGTGTGTGAACGTGAGAGTGGTACAAAGAATGAGGAATAAAATTAAAACCCTAACACATAGGGGTATTTTAGTCTTATCATATCTGATAAGGGGGGTCTCACTAATTTAAATTGGAATTTGGGTTATGGAAAAAGTCTTTAAAGTCAATTGGGTTTAAATCAAAATATTTTCCAAATGAGGGGGGTATTGCATATTTCCCCTTTTTTTTTTTATGGGATGATCACTTAATTAATAACACCAGCAAATAAAATTCCGGAAAACAAGTCACCAATATTCAGTATATCTTATCGAAACTCAAGTCTCGAATAATCGAGCAATTAAAGCGGCCGCCGCGAAAGAAAATTCCGGAGAGAAGAAAATCAAACGAAAAATTAGGGAGATGCTGTATCGGAAGGCGTGATGGATAAAACAACGACACTTGCTTTTTAGTTTTCTCTCTTTAGATTTCGGTCGAGTTCAGCCATTATGGAGATATTTATTTCCAGATTTTCCTCCTTTGTACTTCATCGATTCATCAGATCTGGATTTCAAGCACAAGATTTGAGCCCCTTTCTTGGTTTCCCGTTAAAAAACTCCCCAAGAAATACAGTGAACCGTTCTTCCTCGATCCCGCAGCTCATTATCTCCAACCTCATGGAGAAGATCCAAAAATTCAAATCGTCTCACGTCTTAGCTCGAGATCCATTCCCACAGACGGCGCCACTTGATTTGCTCCAAAATGGTCGAGACGATGACGTGGGATCCTTGGAAGATATTTTGTATGATAGCTCGTCGGGGATTCCGCCGGAGGGGTACCTGCAACGCCGGGAGGGGTTTCCCGGCGTAGAAGCTCCGACGATCAAGTCAGTTTTTATCGAGAGATAATCGAGTGTGATATGTAAGAGAGAGCATGGAAGTGATAAGTTGAGAGTAACTCATATTTATAGGTGAGGATACTTGATGGGTAAGAAATAAGCAAACTTGCCCTAACTCCTCTTCTTGGGCCTGATATGACTTTGGGCCAAGTACTAGTGAAAACTCAATCCACGGCCCAATAAATAATTAGGAAACCCCATGAGGACAATTTAGTCCGTATCATGGATGAACAATTTCTTGAGTAATTATGAATTAATATCTTCTATGCTATATATATGAACATTAAAAACTTATAAAAGAAAAAAGAGAAATGACTGTTTCAGCCATTTTTAGTAAAACAGAGCTATAATTTATATTATTTTGTGATTACCTTCG